CCATTGCCCCGCCCTCGCTCTGCCCCCCCATCCCCCGCCCCACCTGCCCACAGGACCACTCACCGCCTCCAGGGCCCACCGCAGATCGCCCAGGCAGCCCAGCAGCACTATGGTGGCCACACCCTCCGCCTGCGCCCTGCAGCATCAATTGCATGATGGTGTGTGAAGGCAAAGTCTTGTCTACACTGCCTGGCTGCCGTGTTCTTGGCTGCGCTGCTCCATGTGGGCCACACTCGGGGGCGACTCTCCTTCAGGGGGGCTGCTGGAAAGGAGGGGGTCACGGGGGAGGCAAGGCTGGGGCAATGGCACATGTGCCCACAGAGAGGGCTCCGAGTGCCGCCTCTGGCACCCGTGCCATATGTTCGCCACCACTGTTATATGATATATTTGGAGGCTCAATTTCGTGCAGTGGTTAAAGGTACCAAGCTGCAAACTGAAAGACTCTGAATTCCAGTCCTGCCTTAGGCATGGAAGCCAGTCATTCTCTCAGCTCTAGGAAGAAGAGAGCAGTGAAATTGTTTTCAAGAAAATGTCATGGATTTGTCCATGTCATTGCCAAAATCGAGACTGACTGAAAAATAAGTACAAAAATTGATATTCTTAACCAGGGATATCCTGAAGCCCTCTTTATAATATCTTTCTCTTTGTGATATATTGACAATCTAACTATAAGACTGTATTAGCCCAAAGCATTAGGCTAAAATGCATTGACTAATTTGTGGTTCAGAAAATCTTGTAAATGCAACTCCACATCTAATTCTGTCCTGGTGCCTTTCCATATATATACCTGTCTTTTATTTTAATTTAATGTGGAGAGATGGCCAAATGAGAGGATGAGAAGATAAATCAGCTTGGAAAAACCCAGGCAGAGTTTGAAGTCAGACTGTCTTCTTTTTCTTCTTGCAGTGTCCTAATTGGTGGTTGCTTTCCTGCTGGCAGCATTATGAAGAAAGAACAAAATCAGAAGAGAAAAACAACGTTGCTAGTAAAATTAGCACACTCATCCTTCAGCAGTGACTCAAAACATATGCAAATGGGGCAGGATAGGGATTTCAGGCCAACACAGTTTTATGCCAGTTCAAAAATGGGTGGAGTGCACTTTAACTCAGCAGTGGAGAAAAACTTAATGGGGTGTTTTGTCAGGATATATGGAATCATAAACAATATAGCTGGGATTGCACAGATGTGGTTGACTACTTTATGGAGCTCAGTGTGTTGCTTAAATACACTTTTAGAATAGTTACAACATCTGGTTTGGGGAAGTGAGATAACTGCTTTCTAGAGCAGGAATTATATGAAGTAAATCCCTCTTCCAATAATAATGGAAAGGAATGAGAGTTGAAAACATCTAAAGTGACAATAAATGAACACTGGATTTACTTAATAGAGTCAACTGAAAATACATGAAGCTATTATAAATGAGATCTTCTGAGCGTGTACTATGACATTTCCCCAACAAATGAAATGTCCCATTCTTCTACAATTCTCTGTGCTCTTCTGAAGAGGAAGCTTCCAAAAAAGATCTGTCATCTGTGTAAAATAAAGCATTGGATAAAAATTGCCTAGAAGTTAGAGTAGACCTACAAGAGCCTGCAGTCCTGGTACCAATCCCCTCCCTCAACTGCTAGTCTGTTACTTTCCTCAATCATAGACTAGAGATGTGTGATGCTTCATGGCTGCTGCTGCTGCTGCTGCTGCTGCTGCTGCTGCTGCTGCTGCTGCTGCTGCTGCTGCTGCTGCTGCTGCTGCTGCTGAGGGTCTTCATAGAAAATTTGAGAAGTGAGAGCCAGATTGGTGTTGTAATTAAGGTGTTGGCCTGCAAACCAGTAGATGGTCCTATGTTAGGCATGAAAACTGGCTGGGTGATTTTGGGCCAGTCACTCTCTCGCGCGCACTCTCAAACACTCACCTCACAGGGTTCTTATGAGAAAATAGAAGGAAGAAGGAAAGGATAAAATAGATTATTGGTATGTACATGAAAAAAAGCTGGATAAAAATCTAAAGAGAAAAACCGCCAAGCAAAACTTGCTGGGACAGGCCATATATCCCACTGGGATAGAGTTTTGTCTCCAAGGTTTAAAGTCAAGAGAATCTCAAGTTAATGTGTTTTATGCCAGAGAGGACTCCTGATTACTAGGGGACTCTGTAGCCCCAGATGCTGAAAGGAAAGTTTCCATTTCTTCTCCATAAGTTTCTTCAATCTGTTTTTTTAAACCTTTTAAAGGAATTACTAAGATGAGGCAACAAATAATATTTTAAAATGTTTTATTCTATACTCCTCCCTAAGGAAATTAACCCTGACAGTTATTTGGAATGACAGACACTGAAGTTGAAGCTCAGATACTTTGGTCACCAAATGAGAAGAGAGAATTTGTTGTAAAAGACCCTGATGTTGGGAAAGATTGAAGGCAAAAGAAGAAAAGGATGGCAGATAATGAGATGGTTAGTAGTATCATTGATGCAATGGACATGAATTTGGGCAAACTCTGGGAGACGGGAGGACTGCTGAGGGTCTGGCATGCTATCGTCCATGGGGTTGCAAAGAGTCAAAGATGACTTAGCGATTGAACAACAATCCATCCTCCATGAAAGCGTGACACCACTGTACTGAAAAACAGACAGATGAACAATATGAACCATTATTTTATTCCTTATTTTTATTTTTCTTCTCCCAGAGGAAGGGGAGACAGAAGTAGTTGTACCCTGTAATCTTTGGAAATGTCCCAATAAAAAGACAGCAAAATATTTTTTATTTAATATTCAAGGCCAGTATATGCCTCTGAATCTCAGAGTCTGCCAATCTTAGATCACTGTTACTTGCCTCAATAAAAGTGTTTATGTGTTACCTATCATGTATTGTCCCAAACCAGTATTTGTCATAATTTGACATAGCAAGATTGGAATTGCAAGATTTATTAGTGGTTGACTTACAAGTAGACATTTTCAGTTTATACAGCACAGGATCTGGGGCAGCATAAGAATTTTGTATAACTTGACAGTTACTATTTAGGTGCAAACTGAAACACTTAAACCTTTTGTCTGTCAAAGACATGTAGAATTCCTACTTCAGTAACAAGCATGTAAACTGTTCAAGGCCGAACAAATACATGCCAGTTGCCAAGCGCCCAAATATACTGATCGTGTGACCATGGGGATGCCGTAATGGTTGTAAATGTGAAAAACAGTCATAAGTTACTATTTTCCAGTAACTTTGAATGGTCACTAATGGTTATAAGTCAAGGACTGTCTGTGTCACTGTCACTTCACTTCTTTGCTTTCCGCTGCCTGGAGCCTGCCATAACCAGTTTGGACTTTGAAGTCTTTAAGTGCTGGCCTGATGTGCTGAGTTTAAGTCCTTCAATGGAAACTTGAACCATCAAGTGTTACCTCATCTATATCACAGATCAATTTAATCTCAGACAAGGATGGTCTGCTCTCCTATTGCCATACTAAATGTTGGGGGAGGGGTTGCTATTCCTCCAGTTTGAGAGCTCTCTGGGACCAGCTGATGTGACTGGCAGCTTTGTCCCGCTGATATCTCCATTAGGAAGGGGTCTGCTTACTTTTGATGGCTTCTAAAAAAAGATGAAGCATAAAGTACAAGGGCCCATCTTAACTGGTTTATCCAACATATCAACTTTAGGAAATAAAGTGATAAAGGCATAAAATCTGGAAAAACAATAGTTACAGACAGTTCAGATAGTTATGGAGCTTATGGCCACCTCTCTCCTTCAGTCTATCAGTGGGGCAGCCCTGGCTCATTTGGGCTTCAAGGTCCAAACTTTCCTTGATTTGAAGTAATTTTACCAAAATAAATTATCTCGCTTTTGATTTGTCCTGTTCACAATATGGGAAAATCTTATAAAGACTCTTCCATCTGCAGAGGGCGTCCCCAATAAATGTAGCATACCTTTTGGGACAGTGTTCCTTTCCTGCAGTCCTAATGGACACGGATGAAACTTCTCCCTTACAGCCTCACTCCAAATAGGCTGGACTTGAAGTTGTACTGCACTTTTGCTGCTTAAGTCTATTATGTACTGAAGCCTGGGCTGGGCAAACAGGCTGGACTGGAGGATCTGTTGGACTTCACATCTCTCCTACGAAAGACTGCAAAGTCTCCAAATGTTTATACAGTTTATTACCCTTCAACGCTGGTTTAATATTATGTACATTATATTATATGTATTATATTTGCCGCGATCCTCATAGGAGCCAGGGCCGTGGTCAGCGAAGGATTGAGTGAAATTGAGAGATGGGGAAGCCAAAGGGAAAGAGTTAGATGACAAAATGCAGTCCCACGAGTAGCTATAAGAAGGTGCGACCGCCGGTTTTCGACAAACTCCAGGGGCGAAGAAAGCGGCTTCCCACCTTCCGGGCTAAAGTCAGAGCTCTAGAGCGCAGCCGCTCCAGAAAGCGCGCGGTTATAGCCCCGAGTTCGGACCCAGGTCTTTGATTTCTCCATCCCGCTCTATCTGCACCTGGAGCGGTGGAGACGCAAGCCTTCATTCTCAAGTCCGCCTGACCGAGCCAAGAAGGAAGGCTCGCGGCGGGCCCCTTTTCGTGAATTACGCTAAGCGCGAGGCTGACGGGAAGAGGGCGCCAAAAGTTGGCAACCTTTGGAATCGGAAGCGAGAGTTAATTGATTCCAGCCGGCTAATTCCTTCGAGACGAAACTTTTCCGTCAGGGACATTAGTGTGGTGTGGATTTTTTTTTTCTTCTTTTTTTTTTCTTTCGGAGTTTGGCAGAGACTCGGCTTTCTGGGCTGAGGCGGAGAAAGCAGAGCCCAGTCTCCCGCGTGGGTTACACCTCTGAGGCTCCCCTCGCTTTCCCTCGTGTCAGCCCGAGCACGCCTGCGCACAGGGGGGTGCCGGTCCCATCACGAGCAGGCGGCTTGTAAGATGAGTGAAGAAGCCGGGATGGAAGCGGGCGGGAGAGAGAGAAAGGGAGAGAGAGGCGCGGGGAGAGGGCGGGCGGGAGGGAAGCTGTGTCATTGAAAATAGCTCACTTTGACAGTCGCCAGCCAGAGAGCCAACCCTGACTCGATGTCAGGGGCTGTCTACCTGCAAGGTGCGCCAAGATGATGGGCATGAACGCCAAGCAGCCGTTCAGCGTGCATCCGGCCCTGCAGGAAGCCAAGTATTCTAGCTCGGAGGCGATGCGCCGCATGTGCCTCCCAGCCCCGCAGGTATGTAGATGAAGCATAATTACTGCTTTAAGGCACATTTTTGACAGGCCCCGGCTTAATGTTTTTTTCATGTCACCAGAACAATCGCGTCTCTCTCTCTCTCTCTCTCTCTCTCTCTCTCTCTCTCTCTCTCTCCCTCTCTCTCTCCCTCTACCCCCTTCGCCCCCCAGATCCACATGTCTATTCAAGCAAAGCCTCTTCTGCCTTTATATTAATTTTTATGACCTGAGCTTTGAGGAGGAATCTCTCTGCTTTTGAGAGAGAGAGAGAGAGATGTTTTTGAATCCAGACTTGACAGTATTCCCCATTGACTTCGCTCTGCGCGTTTTTGCTTGCAGCTCCAGGGCAATATATTTGGAAGCTTTGATGAGAGTCTGCTGGCCCGGGCTGAAGCCTTGGCGGCTGTGGAACTGGTCTCCCACGGCAAGAGCCACACTTTCAAGCCAGACACCACCTATCATACCATGAGCAGCGTCCCCTGCACCTCTACTTCGTCGCCCACCGTGCCCATCTCGGCCTCAGTTCACCATCACCACCACCATCACCACCATGCCGTGGCGCACCAAGGCCTGGACGGGGACCTCCTGGATCACCTCTCGCCGGCGCTGCTGGGGGGGGCCGAGCACGGCGCGGTTATGGCCGCGCCAATCCACCCTCATGCCCATGCTCACCCCCACTTGGGGGCGGCCATGGGCCACCTACATCAAGCCATGGCTAGCATGAGCCACCCGCCGCCGCCACCGCCTCCTCCGGCTGCCTCGCAAGTCTCGGTATCTCACAACGGGCTGGCCTGCATCAGCGACGTCGAGTCGGATCCCCGGGAGCTGGAGGCGTTCGCCGAGCGCTTTAAACAGAGGCGGATCAAGCTCGGCGTCACCCAGGCCGACGTGGGCGCGGCGCTGGCCAACCTCAAGATCCCGGGCGTGGGCTCTCTGAGCCAGAGCACCATCTGCAGATTCGAGTCGCTCACTCTGTCGCACAACAACATGATCGCCCTCAAGCCGGTCCTGCAAGCGTGGCTGGAGGAGGCGGAAGCCGCCCACCGGGAGAAGAACGCCAAGCCCGAGCTCTTCAACTGCGCCGAGCGGAAGCGTAAGAGGACCTCTATCGCAGCGCCGGAGAAGCGCTCGCTGGAAGCCTATTTCGCCATCCAGCCGCGACCCTCCTCCGAGAAGATTGCCGCCATCGCCGAGAAGCTGGACCTGAAAAAAAATGTGGTGAGGGTCTGGTTCTGTAACCAGAGACAGAAACAGAAGCGCATGAAGTACTCAGCGGTGCATTGAGGCACCTGCTCTGTCGGACAACGAGACCTATGCTTAGCACACATACACCTGCACACCCACGTAGACAGAAACATTGCTCTACCTAAAAGATTAAAACAAAACCCGACAGACTATTAGCAGAGACCTCTGCGAGGATCGTCAGACCAAGTAACCAAGCCACTGAGATGAAATACCTCTCCCTTTCCTTCTGCTGGCCTTCCGCCGCTGGGTCAAGTTTTGCCCAGCTTTCTGTTACGCTTCTCTGGAAAACCAATTGACCCAACAGGGGAAATAGAAGAAAATGTTTATTCCCTACCCCTTCCTTCCCCCCCACCCCGGCCCATTTGTTCTTCTGGGTTGGCCTCCTCCTGACTGCGTGTTTTTGTGCACTAGAGTGTCTTGACGTTCGTCGCTTTTGCAGAAAGAGTTAAAATTGGAGAGGTACTATTTTTTTTAAAGCAAAACAGAGATATAACCATAGATGCTGTTTGGCGATGAACTTAATTACATTTACATTTATACAGTGGGGGTGGGGGGTGGAGGGAAGGTGCCCATGAGATAATAAAGATTTATTTATTGAGATTATATTGGGAGCCAGAAGACTATTTTCCAAAAATTGTAAGCTGAATTCAAGCTTAGATTAAATTTGCATTGATTCATCACCTTTTACTTGTTTAGTCAACTGCATGCTATCTGAGATCAACAGAAGTGCTCCAATGCTTTCTCAAAGATAAACAAGCTTTCCTTTTGGTGCAACTAATAACTGGACTGTGTACAGTCTGATCATTCTTATTAATACAGGGGTGAAGAGTTCCAGCTACACTTACTTGTTTTCTTGAAAGGAGGGTGAAGGAAAGGAAGATATTTGAAATAAGCCAGTCCTTAATCAAAACATTTTGTTAGAATAACCCAAAAGATGCATACATATCCTAAGCACTTTCACAAGTAAACAATTTATTTTCATGTCAGTTTTTTTTAAAAAAAAAAAATCCCTCAAACTATAAGCAGGCTTGTTGCCATTGACTTCTCTGAGGTAAATGCAATCTTTATTCTTATTTATTAATTTTAGTCCAGTTGAAAGGAAGAACCTCCTTTTTAAAAAGTCAGGGTTGCAGGTGCACAGGACAATCCATGCAACTAAGGAGATGGCAGAAGTGTGACTTTGATAAACCTCTTAGAATCCTGCCTCTTCCCATGAACTTTGCAGGTTGGCCTGGTTTTTTTAACTGGATCACCAAACGTTCCAACAGGACTATGGAATTGCATGGTCACACTCGTGTTTGCTTGGAGAGGATCATTTAAAAGAAATACCTATTGTCCTTCTTCCACCCCTTAAAAAGAAATTAAAAGCTTTTTCTGCACTAAGGGCTTCTTTCTCGTCAAATGTCTTCTACTGAAATTTTTATATTCCATGATTGTAATTTGGGCATTTTGTGCACTTCTTTACTATCTTCACTCACCCTTCTCTTTTTCCCCAGAAATAATACTGAAACGTCTCAAATAAAATGCTTTATTTTTTGACCAGAATTGGTTTTTTTTCTTCATTCCCACCCCTCATAACAATTGCTCTGTTTTTGTTGGAGGTGGAGGTGCTTTTCAGATTAAAAATTAAGCAATCAATATTGAAATAATAAGTTTGCTGGATTTAGCAGTAAAATCATTCATTTAGATGGTTTACACTTTCTCAAAATATGTGTGTTGTGATTAGTTTTGAACCAGATTTAACCTATGTATGTTTCATCTAATTTCAGGCCAACAAATCAGTTTTATCAACCACTATGGAAATAACACTAAAATCCACATCCAGAAATGTAGTTTTCAAAAATTTGTTTTTTACAACTACCTCTCATGTTGGATTTTTCAAGGAAAAGGAAGTCTTTTTTTCTCCCTTATGGTTAAAATGTGCTATTTCAGAAAAACAGCCATGCAAATTGTGTTGCTGTTGATTGTTCTGCAGTAGTTCTAATCTTTCAACAATGGACCTTTGTCCTGTGATAGTCCATTGGAGTGAGAAAAATTCAAAATAAAGCATTCAAAGCCTCATTTGGAATTCTGTTTAAAAGCAAAAAGAGGCTTTTGCTTATGAATCCCAGAAGCACCTTAAACAATTAAAAATTAATGATCAGGGCCCAGTGATCTAATACCTCGTCTTTGCATTTAGTAAATAGCAGGGAATAAAATTCCAGCTAGATTCTAGCTACTTTTTTTTTAAATGACTTTATCAAGTAATTATATTTTGCTCATGAAGCACTTAAGCACTAATCTTCCTCAAATGTTCTTCTTTCACTTTATTTTCTCAAAGAGTCCCATTGATTCTCCCCAATCAAATATCCTTTAATAATAAATGCCCCTGTGTCATTACATTATATTGTGGGTTCTGAAATTTTAAAATAAGGTTGATGCAATATTAATTGGGTAACATGGTATAAAAAGGACACAAAGCGATTCTGCCAGCATCCTGCCTCTACTCTGCACTAGGATTTGAAGAAAAGCTTTTTGGGGTGGGAGGGTACTTGTTTCTGATCTTTAACAATAAATCCAGGTAAGATTTTTTTTTAATGTTTTTCTCTGTCATAATCCCTGTTAATGAAATATGTTGTGTTTATTATGGACATTTGTTTTTCCTTTTTATGCACAATTTCTATAAAGTGTAGCAGTATTTTTGTTATTCCCCACCATCAGTTAAATTAGACCTATAGTATAGACAATTTATTTTTTTCAGTTTGCAGTTAGTAAGGAAAACTTACTAATTTTCTCAATAGAAGATATTTCTTAAAGCCTGAAAAGTATACAGAATAATCTTTGCTTTAAGAGAACTTTGAAAAATCTCATCTTTCTTCATTCTCTCCTTTTGCTTTCCTCTTTCTCTCTCTTGTTCTTGCGATGTCCTTGTGATCCTGGATGTGAATTTTTCTCACTTTTGCATAAGCAGTCATTTGAGATTCTATTCTTTTTCCGCTCCGACTTTCCGACTTTCAGGACCTGGACAGTTCCCGATGATACAGTACTATACTGCAACAACCCCAAGAAATCAGTTAATATTAATAGAATGTGACTGTCTTATAGTTACTTAATTTTCCAATTTTATTCCAGGATCTGTCATTTCAAAAGGGATTTATGTACAGGTATATCTTTAAAGAAAATCTTTTAAATGAGAAAACTCTCCATCATTTACTTATAATTAGCTGTTGGACATTATTAACTCATTCCATATTCTGTTGGACATTTAGTAGCTCATTCCATTTTCATTCCATTATTTTCCATTCATTCTCTTAATGCTGAGAAACGCTATGTATTGTTAAGGCAAACAACGTACTAGCTAGAAGAACAGGAAGCAAAACTTTTGCAGATATAGTTTGTCTGCACCTAAGCGGGTTAAACAGGAATATTACTTTCCTGATTGGCTGTCCTTTTAGAACTTTCAGAACCGTATAAAAATGTAACAATAACGATGGTAACTGAGAAAAGAAAAAGAAGAAAATTAAGTGAAAATATAATCTGTTTCCAAATCCTTACTTATTTTTTAATGTGTGTAGACCACGCTGCCTGTTTTGTGCAGATCTGTTCGGGAAGAGAGAAGTAATTATTCCCCTCCCCCATTTTTAAAAAAAGTTTAATATGACATTCTTCCATCTGATGTCTTATTTCGTTAGCTGGAAGTTATGGCTGTTGTAGCCCAACACAAGACAGGCAAATTTGAACTAAACTCTTCAAAATTTCCTTCCTTCCTTCCTTCCTTCTTTCCTTCCTTCCTTCCTTCCTTCTTTACTTATTTGAAAAGTATGGAAGCACAGTAGATTCTCACTATTTTTAATTTTTATTTTAATATTAATTTTAAAATACATCCTTTTGATGGACTGTGGAAGTGGAAGGCAGGCAGGGAAGAGGTCGTTTTAGAGTTGATCAGAAAGAGAAGACCTTGGCAGTCTTGTGAAGATATTAAGAAACCCGATGCTTGTCCTGTTTCTTCCTTGAGAATAGAATATTTCCAAAACGGGCTGTGAACCAACTTTAGATAGATCTCACGTGCTTCCTTGAAACAGAAATGCCATCTCAGGGAAGCGAAAAGGAAGAAGAAAATGGTAACAGCTCGGAGACTATAGACCTGGAACTGGGAGAAAGCTACATCCTGAGCCAAGGTGGGCATTTTGGAAGCCTTTTGAAAGCGATCAGAAACCGACAGCGGTTTTCTTGTTCGGCTCGACCATTCCCCCCCCCCCCCCCGTTGGAGAGGGAGCTATTCCGGGCAGGAGATAGTTTTTATACCTCGCTCAAGATCAGGGCTAGATTAGTTCCCCGCGTTTCAGAAGAGTTGGGGGGCGGAAAGGGTTCATTCTCTGGAAGCGCCCGTTTCATCCCGAGCGTAACCACGAATGCGTGCACACGTGTCTTCTAGGAGTCCGTGTTTCTGCTTTTCTCCTCTAAAACTTTGCCCGCTCCTTCTTAGCGATCACTTAAGCAGTGTTTGCTGGCTGTGGAATTCTGGGAGTTGAAGTCCACATGCCTTAAAATTGTCAAGGTTGAGAAACACTGACTTAGAGCCTGGGTCCGCTCCCTGCACTTCCCCCAGCGTTGTCCTTCTGCCCCTGCCAGACGCCGGCCAGATCTGGTCTGCTGTCGAGAGAATGAACAGATCGCGCGATCTGTTCGGGAGGGTCGCCGGTTCTTCTGCAGAAGAAGCCGAGACCGAGGGGGTAGTAGCGCATCGCAGCGGAAAAGGGGTGTCTGGCTGCGAAGAACGAGAAACTTGGAGAAAGTTGAGCCGGCAGAAGAAAACAGACGTGGAGGGATAACGAGGTTGGACTCGCGGGGATTCTGGGTAAATAGGCAGGGATCGAGCGGAAGGCCCAGGGGAGCAGGCGGCTGGATGGAAAGGTTAAGTACGGATGTTTGTAAAAGCCCCAAATCGCGCCGCTTCCTAAGTAAAAGGCCGCTATGAAAGGAGCGGCGTTTCTTCTTGCCGGGGCCTTTTCCGCTCCTCCCGAACCAATTGCTTTTGGGGCAGGCGCGGAAGAAGGCAAAGAGCAGCATCTCAAAGGCTACGCCTTCCCACGAGGCTACAAATATTTCAAAATAGCCTCCAGCATCAAGATATTTCAAACTGAGTATTTTGGGCGAATATGAAAAGCCTTGCCGATTTCTGTTCCTCCCCCCCACACACACACCCAGATTCTGCAAATTAATCTCTG